TCTTAGCCAGCAGGTACACCCACCCTTAGCCCCAAAATCCCGAGGGAGCTCGAGAACAAGCCCCATTAATCCAAGGACATTCCAGCTAACATCAGCACACCAAGCAAAGCAGACTGGTATAGAACTGCCAACGTGAACATGTAAAGTCTAGAAAAAAAGGAAGTTGCTTACTCACAGGCACAAAGAACAACACACAAGCAAGGAACCAAGGATCACAAAAATCAGGTTGAACATAGGCAAATAAGTAACTGGGACATCTCACTTCAACAATGAAAGGGGAAAAAAATCACATGGCCATCAGACAGAGAAGGCATTTGACACAATCTAGCATCTGTTCATGATAAAATATCATGAATTAATTATAGAACAAGAATACCTCAATGTGATAAATATCGCTGCCATAACTATCATTGTAATCCTTGGTGAAGGGTTCAAAGCCCGTTCCTCTTGTCTGGCTTCCTTCACCACAGTAAAAACAATTAAAAAAAAAAAGTTTAGAAAAATTTTTCTCTAAGTCAGAAACAAGACCAGAGTGCCTACTCTCACCACTGTTATTCAACATAGTCTTGGGAGTCCTAGCCAGAGAAATCTGCTAAGAAAAAAAGTAAAGTTATCAGAATTGAAAAGAATTAAAAGAGGTAAAATTGTCTGTGCAACCAGATGACGCAGAAATATGTATGTAGAAATTGCTAAAGACTCTACCAAAACACTGATAGAACTATGTAGGGGAAATGGAACTTACCAGGTTTCTCCTGCCCTCCTGCCACTAGCACCAGTGACTGACCTGTGGCTTTATAGCCTGCCTGAGGCGGCGCCTGAGTGCGGCATGGAGTGTGGTTTTGGCGTGTGTAAGTGGGCACACCTGAGCCAGAAGCTGAGCCTATGGGTCGGGGGGCAGGAGAGGGCCATGAAGTGGGATGCAGTGGAGAGATGGAGCCACAGATACCAGAGAGCCCAGAAAGAGTGAAAATTCGTTGGGGGCAGCGAGACTACCAACCTCCTGGCCCCCGGCACCCTGCCTGCCTGGTACCTGGTGGCCTCAAACCTCAAAGCTACTTCTATACACAAAAGCCTGAAAAGACCTCTGAGGGCTCTGGGATGCCTTCACAGGTCTGCTCCATGGAGAAGCTGCTCTGTGTAGAAAAACTGGATATTCAAATGTAAATGAGTGAAACTATACCTCTATCTTAGTCACAAAAGTTAACTCAAAATGTATTAGGGACAGATGTTAAGACCTGTGTGTGTACTTACATATATAAGTATATAAAGACAGACAAGAAAGATACACACTGACAGTAGATACTGGCAGTGA